AGAAAATAAAAAAGTCAATCACATCCAGCTAGTACAGACAGCCCAAGGGGTTAGGATTAGGTTAGGTGGCTGAGAGCAAAAAGCAAAGGAGGCGTATCTGGTTTGGGAAAGTAGCCTATTAGTTATTAATAAAATGCAGGCAAGGACACTGAGCCAGTCTCCCCACAGTTTTCAAACTTAGGGCAGCAACCTCTTCTTTTATACATCAGTTTCTTACAAGGATATCATATTTTTAGCCATAGTAATCCAAGTGACTTGGTCTGGTGGAACATAAGCAGCCCACCTTTGTGCTAGAGATTTACAGGTCAGAAACAATATTCTAGGGATGCACCGATATATTGGCCATCGAAAATTATCTGCTAAAAATATGGTTATCAGTGTTTTGCCAAATAAAAAAAAAGTGCCTGTCTTGGCATCCCATAGGTTTCAATGCAAACTCGCATCCCCTAGTGACTTGAATGCAAAGTTGCGTCCCCTAGACTGGGATGCAAAAACACCACCTAGTGACTTCAATGCAAAATCGCATCCCATTATCTTCAGTGCAAACCATCACAAATCACAGCTAACCACAAAAAAAAAACATACTGGTGACAGTATGTAAAAAAAAAATAGTGAAAATAATTTTAAAATTTTTTTTCCATTTTCCGAAAAATTATGACAAAAAAATACAACTTCAAAAAACTCGCCATGCCTCTTATGAAGTACGTCGGACTGTCTACTCTGCAAAAAGGGGTCATTTGGGGGATATCTGTACTGTTCTGACATTCTTGGCCCTCAAGAAATTAGATTGGCTGTCAGTACTTCAGGATTGATCAATATGCAGATCTATCCCATAGTTTGTGAACTCTATAACTTTCCTACAAACTAAAAAATACATCCTAATTTGGGTTATTTTCACCAAAGACGTAGCAGAATACATCTCGGCCTAAATTTATGAAGAACAATTATTTATTTGCAAACTTTTATAACAGAAACAAAGAAAAACGTGTTTTTTTTTTTTTCAAAATTTTCGGTCTTTTTTTGTTAATTTAGCTAAAAATAAAAAGTCATTCAAAGTGTGAGAGCGCTGAAACCTGAAAACTGGCCTGGGCAGGAAGGGGGTAAAAGTGTCCTGTATGGAAGAGGTTAAAGAAAGGTGGCGTGTGGAGTAATGTAAAAACACTAGTACGTCCTTTTAAAATGTACAAAAAGAGACTGGTTTCAGGAAAGTTAATAATTAGATATTTGAAATATCTCATCTAGTTGGTTTAAGAACACTAGTCTGTTTCAAGCTACTTTGTTTCAGTCATGATATTTTTTTGTTAGGTATAGTAAGAAATTGGGGAACCTGGTGTTATAGAGGACAAGTTTACAAAAACAGGCAGTTTTCATTCCTCTTCCTGACTGGTCATCACAGGTTCAGGCCAGCATATACAGTTTTTTAAAAATGATCCTCACTGTATTCTACAATATACTGTGTAAAAAGACACACGACTGCCTACAGAGAGTGAAAACAGAAGCTTTTGTTTAATTCAAAGTCTTAAATTCCAGGAACCATAGTTACGATTTTTTACTGCACTGCACATAGTTACTAAAGATACAGATCACAAACTGCGACAGGAAGGCAATGTAAACCTAAGAAACACTCAGGGTAAGGATAAGTTCACCTTTAGTAACATGTTGCATCCTTATTCGTGTTACTAATGCAGCAGCCCCCGATCCATTGGCAGCGTGCTTTATACCACTGCATCTAATGCTTTGCATTGCACTTGGTGATGTAAGGCTTGGATGCAGCTGCTCGGCCATGGAAACCCATTTCATGAAGCTCTCTATGCACTGTTGTTGCGCTAATCTGAAGGCCACATGAAGTCTGGAGCTCTTTAGCTATTGAATCTGCAGACAGTTGGCTACTTCTGTGCACTGTGGGCTTCAGCATGTGCTGACCCCGCACTGTTATGTTACATGGCCTACCACTTCATGGCTGAGTTGCTGCTGTTTCCAGTTGCTTCCACTTTGTTATAATACCACTAACAGTTGTCCGTGGAATATTTAGTAGGAAGGAAATTTCATGGATTGTCTTATTGTACAGGTGGCAACCTATCACAGTACCACGTTTGAATTCACTGAGCTCCTGAGAGTGACCCATTCTTTCACAAATGTTTGTAGAAGCAGTCTGCATGCCTAGGTGCTTGATTTTATACACCTGTGGCCATGGAGGTGATTGGAACAACTGAATCCAATGATTTGGAGGGGTGTCCCAATACTTTTGGCAATATAGTGTACTTTATAAAAATGCAGCGCTAAATATATAGAATAGTGACTAGTATAACAAATAATGTCATTTAGGAATACTAGTAGATGGAAATACAGTCCAATGACATAACAGAAATAAGTACATAAAGTGATCAATAATCAATGCTGATGCATCCCACGTTGTGATAGTGGACATCCAAATACAGGTGAAGTATCAGTTGTTCCCGTGCTTGAAGGTGTGTATATAATATGCACTAACCAGATAGCGCACAATTCAGTGCGTTTGAGTAATCAGACCACTCCTGGTACTCTGGAACTGGGAAGGGCAAGACCTGAAGATCACCTGGCAAAATGAACAGCTCGGCAGGTGATCAGCATCTCATCTTTACCAACTGCAGTACCTCTTCCATCCAGCAGGGGGCCATCACCCATGTGTAATGGGCTCTCAAATACCAGTCAGGGAATCACCCCAAAATCATACACATCGGGCTAAGAGGATCCACCTTAAGAGAGGGGGCTCGTGGTACAACTAGCCCAAACCGAAACTCTGATAGTATAGTAATTTAAGATCCTTTATTGATTTAAATACAAGAAGATGACTCACATTTGGCAGATAGTACAGATTCAAAAATGGCCGCCGGCCCCCACGCGGATCGGACGGCGTGACGTCACCGACTAGGCTCTACCCTATATGTTATCAATGAGAAGGTTTTGAGGTTGTACCTTTATGCCAGCTGCTCACATATTAGTCCAAGCGCTCGTATCAACTTTCTAGTTTGTTATAATATAGTGTACTTTGTTTGCACCAGCCTGGCCCAAACTACTTCAAGGGACCTTAAACATGGAGAACAGTTTTTGGGCCGGTTCACAGTATAGAAACACAGTCCAGATGTGTTCCGGATGCATTTTTAGCGCGTTTGGTGCATTTTTTAAGTATTCTAGTTAATTTTTCCCCCTCTCTTTTTCTTCAATTCAAATAGGGACATGTGCATACCAGTGTGTTCTTGATAAGTTCAAGTGCAGCTCTGTGCAGAAAAAATGCAGCATGTTCTACTTTTTTTTTTCTGCAACTGGAACACACTGGAACTGCAAGCACTGATGTGAAATATGACATTGACAGCCATATAACCTACTTTCTGTGTCTTTTGCATGCAGAAAAAACGCAACTGAAACGCATGTAGTTTGAACTGGCCCTTGAATAAAAGTAAACTTGCACCACAGAAAAATTATATATACTTCAATCTAAATCTAAATGCTGCTGTTCAAGAAAGGAAGAAACCAATCAAATATAAACACCTCACAGCGCAAAAAAACCTGGCCCTTAATTCTTTAATTTCTTGTGTGATTTGTGCTAATGGGTTTGAATATACAAGACAATACAGAAGAGAGTGCAGAAAGTGGCAAGTGCTTTGCGCAGGAATATTTGTATTTTGGCTGTGGGGGGCATACAATTCTTCTGCAGACACTTTCAAAACTTCATCTGGAATAAAATTCCGTCTTCATTTTACATAATTTGTAATTCATTAAGAGTGACTGCTGATTTTTCTAATCCTGTGTCTGTGATTGTACTGTCGCTGCTCGCAGTGCCTTTTTGTTTTTCTATTTGTTCTCAATAATCTAATTTGACAAGCAAGTCAAGCTTGATTTTTCAGGAAAAGTGGATATTTATGTACAACTTCAGCTGAATGTTTGTAATCCTACACTTAAATTGCCTTTGGTTGGTTACTTTAATATATTTTCACTATACACAGCTGTAAAACATTAACCACCATAATGAATGGGCTGGCTGTTCATTGCAGCTCTTCCACAAAAGTTAAGATGTGCACATAACTTCAGCTGCGTGTATCTCTGGATCTGATCATTTTTTTTTAATGCAATTTTTCTGCTAATGCGTTTTTCCATTACATGTTTTGTTTGTATTCAGCTCATTTTGTAACATGTTTCTCAAAGATGATTGTATAAAAGCTCTTCCATTTTATGTGATTAAAATTGCCACTAGGTGCCAGTACTGTGATGGTCTTTTCCATGGATTTAGGTTTGATGGTACTAGGCTATAGCACGTTGTTTGCATCTGTCATGTCCACTCTGTTTCAGTCCAAAATGTTCCACTGCTGTATTCTGAGGTTATCTGATGGTGTTCATAATAAGCTGTATCAGTATTTCTGCCAAACATCTAAGAAAAACTATTTTAACGATTTTCTTTTATCTGCAATTTTTCTTGTTAAAATATCACACTATTTTGAACTTGAAGATATAAGATTTGAAAAGCCTGGCTAAATGAAAAAAGTTGACTCTGATTGCGTTTAAAGCAACCTTTAGAGGTCTCTAAAAATCAAAATGCCAGTTCCCTGTTGTAGAAGAAGTTGTTTACTCCTCCAGTGTTCTATATCTCCAAACTTTCCTCCGATCCATTGCCGCATCAGTCTCTTTGGCATTTGACACTTCTGGGAGTGTCAAATGGCTTTTTCCCCAACTGTGCACTGGTTCCTTCATCTGACCTCTATACCACATGTGACACCGATATCTGACACTCCCTGATGTATCTAATCCCGAAAAGGCCAAGGGAGGCTGCAGAGCCGAAATGGAGGGGAGGAAGACAACTGGGTAGAAGAGAAGTGAATATACAACCTCTTTTATTTCATGGAACAGGCATTTGACTTGTTTAGACACTTGACAGGGCCCTGTTTAATATTGATATTTGTAAGAGATTCACATATTGTTCTTTACTTCTAGGGCTCGTCAATGTGTGTGGTTTTTTTTTTTAGAGGATGCTACTTTTTTTTCTTGTTGGTTTGCTAGTCCATCTGGTTTTTTTTGGCTCAATTTTTGACATTTACTTCACATCTCCACTGGTCCATGGAACGACCCCACAACAGACTTCACTGCCGTCTCCGGCAAAACGTCTAGTACTATTTGTGGCTGATGGCTTGAGAGCTGACACATTTTTTGAGTTGGATGAAAATGGAATTTCTCGGGCGCCCTATCTCAGGTAAGATCAATACATGAACGCTTAAAGGATAAGTTCACCTTTTAACAAAAAATAATAAATGCATATTTTTTTGCAGGTAAAAAAAAAAATTGCATTTTATATTTTTTGTTTTGTGAGCCTGGAAAGCGTCGCACCAACGATTAGCAGATCACTGGTGCCATGCGGGACTCCTGCAGACCTATCAATGTACAGTGAAGTATTTGATCCCCTGTTGATTTTGAATGTTTGCCCACTCACAAAGAAATGAGCAGTCTAAAAATCGAATGGTAGGTGTATTGTAACACTGAGAGACAGAACAGCAACAAAAAATTCAAAAGAAATGCATGTCTAACAAGTTATGCACGGATTTGCATGGTCGTGAAGGAATTAAGCTGCTCCACAACGCCCCACAGCACCATGGTAGTTCACGTTTGACCATTCTTCCAGAAGCGTATTTGTGAGGTCAGACACTTATGTCGGACAAGAAGGCCTTGCTTGCAGTCTCTGCTCTAATTCATCCCAAAGGTGTTCTGTCGGGTTGAGGTCAGGACTCTGTGCAGGCCAGTCAAGTTCCTCCACCCCAAACTCGCTCATCCATGTCTTTATGGACCTTGCTTTGTGCACTGGTGTGCAGTCATGTTGGAACAGGACGGGACCATCCCCAAACTGTTCCCACAAAGTTGGGAGCATGAAATTGTCCAAAATGTCTTGGTATGCAAATGCCGTAAGAGTTCCCTTCACTGGAACTAAGGGGCCAAGTCCACCCCCTGAAAAACAACTCCAAACCATAATCTCCCCTCTGCCAAACTTTACACTTGGCACAATTTACTCAGGCAAGTACCGTTCTCCTGGCAACTGCCAAACCCATAAACGTGCATCAGATTGCCAGACAGGGGCGTATTTACCACAAGGCAAACAAGGCATTTGCCTAGGGTGTCATTTTTCAGGGGGGCAGCACACCGTTCCCCTGGAAGAAGGGACGGAAGAAGGGACACATGCAGCTTGGGAACCAGATGGGGTCTGAGAGAGGCTGCTTGACTCTCGTTCCTGTGGATGTCCAGCGCTGTGAAGGTGTCTTTCTCCCTCTCGCTGGGAAGGAAGTGGCCGGTTTATGTGGGTGATGATAGTGGAAGGCTATTTTGGGTGGGGGGGCAGGGGTGTGTTGGTCAATGTCAAGCTCTGTCCTGGGGGGGCATATTTTGTGATGCCTAGGGCAGCACAAAACTTAAATACACCACTGTTGCCAGACAGAGAAGCACGATTCATCACTCCAGAGAACACGTCACCACTGCTCTAGAGTCCAGTGGCGGCGTGCTTTGCATTGCACTTGGTGATGTAAGGCTTGGATGCAGCTGCTTGGCCATGGAAACCCATTCCATGAAGCTCTCTACGCACTGTTGTGCTAATCTGAAGGCCACACAAAGTTTAACAGTCACCCTAGGAATATTTAGTAGCAAGGAAATTTCACATATGGACTTATTGCACAGGTAGCAACCTATCACGGTACCACGCTTGTTCACGGAGCTCCTGAGAGCGACCCATTCTTTCACAAATGTTTGTAGAAGCAGTCTGCATGCCTAGGTACTTGATTTTATACAGCTGTGGCCACGGTGGTGATTGGAACACCTGAATCCAGTGATTTAGAGGGGTGTCCTAATACTTTAGGCAATATATGTTTTGACTTTTTTTTTTTTTTTTTTTTAAGACAGAAAATATGTCAATTCTGCCCATTGTAGCCCTTCAAGATAAACCTGTAATTCATTTAAAGTTGGCTGTGAGAGGAAATCAAGCACTTATTGTGGGCGAGCATCATTTTTTCTCTCTCGCGCTCTGTTTTTATACATTTGTCACTATAGCTCGAACAATTGCAGCATACTAATAGGGTTCATTTATTCACTAAGCATCTATTTATAAACCTATATTTGCATAGCTATAAGTTCAGAGAAACTGCATGTGCATTTTGTTCTGTGTGATGTAACCAGCTATTGTGGGAATGGGTAAAATCAAGTGTTCTTAGGGCATTTTCTTTTCTGTGTAACAGAACAGTGCTAGAGAATGATCTATTGGAAACCACATGATAGTATGTAATACATTCACAGGGGTTTAAACCACGTCTGTACTTGCATGCAATCCAGTTGCAATAAATGAATGAACAGTGCCTGCGGAGAATTAAGGAAAGACAGTGGTTGACAATGACATGACCAGGGGCGGACTGACCATTTGGAAACTCGGGCACTGCCCGAAGGCCCAGGGTCAGTAGGGGGCCTCGTGAGATGCCCCTGGTACCTTTTTCATAGGCTTTTTTGAGTTTGGGCAAGGACACAGGGGCCCCATGATCCCCTATTGCCCGGGGGCCCCATGAGTTGTCAGTCCGCCCCTGGACATGACAAATAAATAGTATCTGCAGTGGGGAGGAACGTTTGAGAAGGATGATATCTGAACTTTAGCAGTAACTTTCATCAAAGCTAAAGGTGACAGGTTCACTTGTATATTGAGACAGCTCCAGTGGTTCATGTACACGGGGTGCTGATACAATATCCACATTTTCTATGTCTGAACTGCTGGATCTTTCCGGTTATAAAAGTGCATCTGCCATCTTCAGCTTTTAGATACCTTTCCTCGAATTCCCACCACAGATACTGTTTGTTTATATGTCACAATTAGTCATTGACTTTGTCTAACTTTTGCCAGCACTGTTCATTCCTTCTTTTTTTTTTTTTTTTTTTTTTGCAACCAGGGTTCAGCTATTGTGAATATATTGCTTATTATTATAAATGATCAAGTTACATCTAATTGTGTTTCCTTTTAAGGCCTCATTTACACTTGTGTTTGGTAGGTGCTAAAAACATGCAATTTAGCCACGTTTTTACTGCCTTCCAGCCACCTCCCCCTTAAAGTAAAGCTTCACCTGGGAAGAGAAGCTCTTCTGATTCCCCTCCTCCCCACTACTCTACATATTTTGGAGAGTATTGGAGAGTTTTTTGAGAGAGTGGGATACCTATTTCAGACCTGCTCCCACTTCTGCACGGCTCACCTATGGGAGCAGAGCAGAAGTTCAGCCCCATTCCTCGCCACCCACAGCTTCCTGGGGCATGTTCCAGGACACTGCAGGACCATTCGCAAAACACAGTACATTTCACACATGAACTGTGGGAAGCCGGCTGGGAAACACCAGGAAATCACAGCCAGCTTCATACATTCAAGATGGCGGCGTTGGGGACACAAAGACAGTATTGGATCCCTGGACACAGCAGGAGTCTGTTAGCAAGTCCTGGCTGAGAGCTGTGGATTGGCTGTGTCCAATCAGAACTCTGTGTTGACAATCAACACAGAGGGAACAATCTCTGTCTTTCTTTTTCTTGCAAAGCAGGAATAAGAAACAAAGAGATCTTTTAGTGAAAGTAGCACACATTATTAGGCACACATTTAAGCCCCATACACATGATGAGAATATTGGATGAACAACCGTCCATTTTTTTTTTTTGCCTGCTAGTCTCACATCGAAATTGAAAAGGTTACTAAAGATACGAAAATTCTCGTACAAAGAAAATAATTTCAAAAGTGATGTCATGTGTTTGTATGGTATTTTCAGACGACTTCTGTACTGATTAAACGAAAATTATATGATCTGGTATCGTACGAGAAAAATTTTGGTGCTTGTCCCTTCGGATATTGTTGCACGAATTGTGATTGGCTCTCCAAAGCTGTATACTAACGATCCAATTGTCGTGCGATTGGTCCTCGTACGAGCATCTCTTCCTACGGTTTTCTTATCATGCGTACAGGGCATAAATACCTTGATCACCCTAGATGTTAACCCCTTCCCAGCCAGTTTCATTAGTGACAATGTATAGCATTTTTGTATTAGTGTCACTGGTGATGCCAATGGCAGTTAGTCAGTTCCCCCTCAACATCAGTTAATGTCAGATTGCCTTCCACACTATTGCAGTCCTATTATAAGTCACTGATCACTGCCATTAGTAGTATAAAAAAATCCAATATATACCATAGTTTGTAGACTCTGTAACTTTCACACAAACCAATTTTTATACACTTATTGGGATTTTTTTTACCAAAGACATGGAGCAGAATACATTGTGGCCTAAACCTATGAGGAAAGTAGATTTTTTCATTTTTATTTTTTTCTTGCACACGTTTTATAGCAGATAGTAAAAAATTTTTTTTCTAAATTTTCAGTCTATTTTTATTTTATATAATAAATAAATAAAAAAAACAGTGGTGATTAAATATCACCAAATGAAAGCTCCATTTGTGTGAAAAAATGTATATAAATTTTATTTGGGTAGAGCGTCGCATGACCATGCAATTGCCAGTTAAAGTTGCGGAGTGCCGAATAGCAAAAAAATAGCCAGGTCATGAAGGGGGTTAAACCTACAGTAGCTGAAGTGGTTAATACCTTTTGTTAACACATTCACCAATACATCATTTAAACGCAAGCAGTGTAAGCACCTGAATTTCCTTTAGTAGCAGCCTCTTGCAGTCCCCTTTACAACAGAGTTTAGATTGAAAGAATGAGAAATAGCCCAAGGCACCAATCAGTTGAGTTGCAGTGCTCATTTATAACAAGGAACATGCTAACAGCAGTAGAGAGCAGAGTGAAAGAGAAATGAGCTTATCAGCCTGCTATTTCTAGTTTTAATGCCGATTCACAGGCTGGGGGGGGGGGGGAGATAAGACCTGTAAGTGTTACTGCAGGAGAGAAAAAATGAGGCCCCTTCTCTTGCAAGACAGGTGTGCTTTGTAGCAGAGATGTGCAAACCTCAGCACTAAATGGACATAAATGCCTTTTGCAAATAACATGGCTCCCTTTATATGTATTTTATTGTATATAGCTGATTGCCTAGAGTTTAGTTTTGACCTCCCTTGTTATTAATTTTGGATGGTAAATTCACTCAGAGCAGAATAGTAATTAGTGGGAAGATTTTATTGATTTCATAGCATGGCAGTTTGTTAAAATGTTATGTGATCTCTTAAATCATTCTCTGTTTCTGTGACTGTATAAATGGGAAGGATGAGGCTCTTGGACTGGAATCTTTATGAAAGTTCTCATTATATGTGTATCTGGTTCATTTTGATTATTTTAAAATAACATATATAGTATGTTATAAAGCTGATGAATGCTTCTGTACATTACATAACTTCAATGTGTCTTCTTTTATTATTTTAGAGAAATAATCCAGAACAGAGGTAGCTGGGGTGTGTCTCACACTCGAGTTCCTACAGAATCCAGACCGGGACATGTTGCCTTGATAGCAGGCTTCTATGAAGATGTCAGTGCAGTTGCAAAAGGTATCAACATCTGTTTAACCCTGTTATTGTTTTACAATAGGACATCATATATTGGGGTATAAAAAAACATTTGTGTTTAGAGTATGTACAGTACTTTAATGCAAAGTAATTGTGCATACCATGTTACACAGGATGCTTTGAAAATGTCAGAGAGAGACCATTTGATTTCTGCAATTTCTGCTTTCACTGGGGTTTTTGTGGTAAGATGGACCACCACAGAGAACCTCAGAGATCTGCTTTGATAGAAAAAGTGGGTTTAGGTCAAAGTTTAGCCACTTTATTAGGTACACCTTGCTAGTACCGAATTGGACCTCCGTTTGCCTTCAGAACTGCCTTAAGTCTTCATATCCTAGATTGTAAGCTCGAAAGAGCAGGGCCCTTGACCCCCTCGTGTTTTGTTTTGTTACTGTATTGTCTCATGTTCTGTCCCCCACTATAATGTACTGCGCTGAGCAAACCTTTTAGCGTTATATAAATACTGTATAATAATAATAACATACAGTGAGGAACAGAAGTATTTGAACACCCTGCGATTTTGCAAGTTCTCCCACTTAGAAATCATGGAGGGGTCTGAAATTCACATTGTAGGTGCATTCCCACTCTGAGAGACAGAATTTCAAAAAAACATTCAGGAAATCACATTGTATGATTTTTAAAGAATTTATTTGTCTTGCACTGCTGAACATAAGTATTTGAACACCTGAGAAAATCAGTGTTAATGTTTGGTACAGAAGCCTTTGTTTACAATTACAGAGGTCAAACGTTTCCTGTAGTTCTTGACCAGGTTTGCACACACTGCAACAGGGATTTTGGCCCACTCCTCCACACAGATCTCCTCTCGATCTGTCAGGTTTCGGGGCTGTCGCTGAGTAACATGGAGTTTCAGCTCCCTCCAAAGATGTTCAATTGGATTTTGTTCTGGAGACTGGCTAGGCCACTCCAGAACCTTGATATTCTTCTTACGGAGCCACTCCTTGGTTATCCTGGCTGTGTGCTTCAGGTCGTTGTCATGTTGGAAGACCCATCCACGACCCATCTTCAATGCTCTGACTGAGGGAAGGAGGTTGTTGCTCAAAATCTCACAATAAATGGCCCCATTCATCCTCTCCTTAATACAGTGCAGTCGTCCTGTCCCCTTCGCAGAAAAGCACCCCCAAAGCATGATGTTACCACCCCATGCTTCAGAGTAGGGATGGTGTTCTTGGGATGCAACTCATCCTTCTTTTTCCTCCAAACACGACGAGTGAAGTTTGGACCAAAAAGTTCTACTTTGGTCTCATCTGACCACAGGACTTTCTCCCATGCCTCCTCTGGATCATCCAGATGGTCATTGGCAAACTTCAGACGGGCCTGGACATTTGATGACTTGAGCAGGGGAACCTTCCGTGCAATACATAATTTGAAACCATGACGGCGTAGTGTTCTACCGACAGTGATCTTTGAAACTGTGGTCCCAGCTCTCTTCATGTCATTAACTAGCACCTCCCTTGTAGTTCTGGGCTGATTCCTCACCTCTCTTATCATCAGTGATACCCCACGAGGTGAGATCTTGCATGGAGCCCCAGTCCGAGGGAGACTGACAGTTGTCTTTAGCCTCTTCCATTTTCTAACAATTGCTCCAACAGTTGATCTATTTTCACCAAGCTGCTTGGCAATTGCCCCGTAGCCCTTTCCAGCCTTGTGGAGGTCTGCAATTTTGTCTCTGGTGTCTTTTGACAGCTCTTTGGTCTTGCCCATGGTAGTAGTTGGCGTCTGACTGACTGTGGGGTGGACAGGTGTCTTTAAAGAGCTCAGACAGGTGCTACTAAGTTAGATTAATGAGTGGAGTAGAGGGGGACTTTTTGAAGGCACTGTAAGAGGTCTTTGAGAGACAGAATTCTTGCTGTTTCATAGGTGTTCAAATACTTATGTTCAGCAGTGCAAGACAAATAAATTCTTTAAAAATCATACAATGTGATTTCCTGAATTTTTTTTTTATTCTGTCTCTCAGAGTGGGAATGCACCTACAATGTGAATTTCAGACCCCTCCATGATTTCTAAGTGGGAGAACTTGCAAAATCGCAGGGTGTTCAAATACTTCTGTTCCTCACTGTAGATTCTAGAAGGTGTTGGAAACATTCCTCAGAGATTTTGGTCCATTTCGACATGAGTTGCTATTGCCTTTCTATCAGCTCGAACCAGTCTCTCTCTTTTTCGGATTATTCTCTGTAAACCCTAGAGATAGTTATGCATGAAAATCCCAGTAGGTCAGCAATTTATGAAATACTCAGACCAGCCCGTCTGTCACCAACAGCCATGCCATGTTCAAATTCACTTAAATCCCCTTTGTTCACCATTCTGATACTCGGTTTGAACTTCAGCAAATCGTCTTCACCATGTCATTGAGTTGCTGCCATGTGATTGGCTAATTGGCATTTTGTGTTACCAAGCAATTGAACAGGTATACCTAATAATAAAGTGGCCTGTGAGTGTACATGAGCGATACCTGACTGTTCCCACTGGAAGCTGGAAATCACTGTAGTGGGCCTCTAGCTTTCAAGTCTCGTGCTGGACAGCTGCCTTCTGCTTAGTAAACACAGGAGGTCACTTCCTTGGTAAGGACTCTACTCAGGAAACCTTTGCAATTTCCCAATGAATGCAAAATGTTCTCTCATTGGACAAGGCAGAGAGGCAGGGCGTTGACATCGTAATCTCCACCTTATCCACTCAGAGAACACTTTGCATTCAATGGCAACATACAAAGTATTCTCTTAATGGTTCCTGTGTCAAGCGAGCAACCTCCCGTGTTCACTAAGCAGCAGGGCAGCATGGGACCGAGAATTATTTGGCAATCACTGTTGTAGTGGTGCCTACTATAGTGATTTACAGATTCAATGGGGATAAGCCTGTTATTGCACATACATATAATTACATTGGTTCAGGGTAGACCAGTTTAACTATTTAAAAATAGCCATATGTGGAATTCAGTTTTAAATCAAGCCTTCACTGACCTTTAGCTCTGTAGGTACTATGGAGAAATTCATACTCAAAGCACCATAGTCATTTTCATTGTCTCAGCAGCACAGCTCACCAAGCTCTTGTTTCCAGAACTCCGAGTTTACATTAGAGATTAGGAGGCTTCTGAGTCACTGCTGGGAGGTGGATTTCTTCTTAGTTGCAATTGAGCAATTGACAACATTACCATGTGCTTCCAGACATGGGAAACCATATGACCTGCTGTTCTGTGATATAGCTTGAGCCTAGCAGCCAATCAATTGACTTAAACACTGTCACATGTCAAAGGGAGTTCCATCTCTGCTCCGTCAGGTTGCCTCCACCATTTATTTCACCGTCAGCTGAGACAGAGGAAGGAACAGCAAAAGAGTGCAGGAAAAGTGAGCAATAATGGATTAGGAGGCCCCTTTGCAGAGACAACAACACTTGCATTGGCAACGTGACAATTATTCGTTAATGGAAATAAGCTTTCTTTCCACTCTAGTGCTCTTTGTTGGTGCAGATAAATCCAGGCCACATCCATCAGTAGTCTTTGAAAAGGAGGCTTACTAAAACTGGAGCACACATAATTTGGTGCAGCTGTGCATGGTAACCAATCAGCTACTAACCTTGGCTTATTAAATTAAGCTTTGACAATATAACCTAGAAGATGATTGGTCAATATGTACAGATGCACCAGATTCTCTGTGGTTGGTTTAGACTTTAGAGTACACTGGGCATAATGGTCATGTTGGAAGTGTCCTCATTTACCCATACTCTTGGCAATGAGATCTGAGTTCTGAAACTAGCAGTGCAGGGAACTAATGTATTGTGGGACGTGGGTGGAGCAAGGCAGTCTTTGTTTTTTTTTTTCCTCAGTTTGGTATTTGCATTTTAGAACAGGTTTTTGCACAGGAAACATGTATGCAAACAATGTGGGATGGTTGCATTTCAATAATTTTGGCTACTTAAAAAGTAAAGGTTTTATTTGCAGCTGAATCGTGGCTGTTTTATAGGACATGCACCTATTGATTAAAAACAAAGTAGTTGGGGTCATTTTTTTATTTTTGGCCTAACCCAGGGAATTTTCTCACTGTCCTGATAATAAAGGCTTTTGTTATTGCAGTAATCTTTACATTTGAAATCCATGACCATAAAAAAATTGTAGGGAGTATTGGTAATGTATAAACAAAAAATGTTAACCTGTTTTTACATATAGATAGAGAGGGTTTAGTATGAAAGCAATCTGGTATACAGTATGCTTTCATTAACTGAATAAGTTGGCTAGTTCGAAAATACTTTCTTTCTTTTTCCCTTAAAAGGGTTGTCACGGGTGGAATGTCAATTTTTATTGTTTCTCTGATAGTAATAGTTTTGGTAGAAACAATTTTTTTAAAGGATAAGTTCATTTTTGGAACATGTTACATGTTCCACCCATTTTTTAGGAAGGGAACATGTAACATGTTCCAGCTCCTTCTTCCCCCGATCCACTCCTCCCTGTGGGGGATCTTCTCCCCGCACCCGCTGTCACAATATAAAAAGAGCAAGGCCATGCTGGACTCCACCCACACGGCCGCTTCATTCAATCAAAGAGTTTTGCGAATGATTGAACTACAACTACTGTTGGCCAACAGCTTGTAGTTCTCAATGAACTGTGAGGGGACTGGTGAACACTCACTTAGTTCATGGATTTTTCTTGCCATTTAGTAACTGCCTGACAGTACGTGTGCATTCATTATTATTATTATTATTATTATTTTTTTTTTTTACAAAAGTTGAATTTAGCCTTTAAAGTGGTTGTGTAGGTTGATGGTTTGAAGGTAAAAAAATGTATGTGTGCTGCTCTCTCCATAGCCCCTCTGTTTTTTCATCTGCGCCCCCTCTCGATCCAGCGATCTGCACAGAAGGCTCGGCTGTCCCCGGCCTCTCGCTCTCCCTCTCCTCATTAGCTGAGACCGTCAGTGGGAGTCATTGAGCTAGTGAGCCAATGAGGAGAGAGTGGGGACGATGGCCGAGCTTCAACTCTG